CTAGAATCTTCCCTGAGTTTGTTTTTGCCTGGAGCCAGGAGCATGAATCTGGTAGTTTTGTCATTTTGACTGAACCCTCCAGGTATATGACAGATTATTCTTTGAAGCAGTTCTTCTTATCTCTTTATTTTCCTGGCCTTTGGTTTTAAGTGAACTGATTCCTTAGGTGAAGGATGTTTATTGAGTTCCTTGCCTTTGTGGGGCACTGATCTAAGCAGTGTGAAGAAATGGATGGTCTAGACCAGGTCCGCCTGCAGTGGAGACACTGACAGTGAATGAACAAACACATAACGGGTGCAGTAGGCGACATGGAGAAAAGCCAAGGAGGTCAAGGGCAAAGAGAATGATCAGCAGGGACACAGCGTTCCAGATTGGGTGGTCAGGGAAAGCCTTTCTCAGGAGGGTAGTATTTGATGGAGACCTGAACAGGTAAGAGAATGAGTAAGGTGCTCAGAGTCATGGCTTTAGTCAGAGGAAAAAGTAAGCACTACAGGGGATTGAGGCAGCCACAGGCTTGTCCTGTTTGGGGAACATCAGTTCATTGAGACTGGAGCAGAGAACATGAGGCACAGAGGGGTAGGGATGCAAAGTGAAGAGAGGCAGGAGCCAGATCCACACAARGCTTGGAGTTCACGGAGTGTGGAGAGAAGCCAGTGAGAGTTTTGGAAGGGTGAGAATGTGATGTGACCTTAATTGTTTGTTGTGAACATCACTGTGGCTCTTGGGTGGTGACTTTTATGGTTTTTGTTGTTGCTGTTTGTAGGGGACCAAGAACAAGAAGCAGTGAGAGAGCTTAGGAGGCTGTTATATGAATCCTGATGGGAGTGGAAGGTGGCTTAGATAAGTGCTAACAGTGAAGTGTGGGTGAAGTGGTTGGAATCAGGATAGAAGTTGATGGAGGAACCGCAACAGGATTTACTGATGGGCTGGTTGTGAGCTTAAGAATGGGCAAGGGACGGGCTAATCAAAGAGCTCTCCAGGGACATGGTGCATTTACGATGTCCAGGAGACTCAAGAGGAAGATGGGTTTCCGCTGAAAGAAGAGTTAGAGCCAGGATGGGAACTTTGGAAGCTTTGGCACATAGCATTTAAACTCTCAGGGCTAGAAGGATGGCTTGGGCTTGCTTGCAAATAGAGAGCACTTTTCTGACAGTTAAAGGTCAGGAGGAGGAGTGGGAGGAGGAAAATAAAAAGGCAAGAATGATTAGTGTCTTAACAAATGAAGAGAAAACCAAGGACTGATTTGGAAGAAGAGAGACAGTTTGGGAAGGAAGCGGGGGATCCTCTGAGTCAAATAGTGTGATGAAGCTGGGTAATATGAGGACTGGAATTGACCAGTGGATTGGAGAAGTGGAAGTCATTGACAACCTTAAGGAGTGGTTTTTCTAGAATAGAGAGGATGAAAATCTGATTGGAGTGGATTCAAGAAAGAACCTAGATGAAGAGGTAGAGACTGACTATCACAGCTCTTTCAAGTGAGTATAATAACTAGCTTGAAAAAAATAGTTCTTTCGCCCTTTTAAAATTTTAGAGTGGCTAGCACTGAGCAATAGCTAGTTTGCAGACATCAGAAAGTTATATAATTGGAATATAAAAGTAAAGCCAACTTTTTGACATTGCTCTGCATTTGCAAATATTTACTCTTCCCTGTATGTAAAACACTCCAATGTCATTACTGGTGTTTATAGTGATGGTCTTTGAAGTACAAATACCAGTTTTTTAAAAGCTTTGTATATCGATATGCAGCTTATACATTTATTTTATGTAAGTTCATATTCAAAAGATCTTAATTCATCAATGAGTTTCAAGGATCACTAATATTTTCTAGCAGGAAACTGGGATACTATTTTTAAAGAAGCTTTTCTTTAATAAAGGATTTCTGGTTTTAAACCATTGTTAAAAAGTAGATGTGCCAAATTCCTATTGAAGCCTTCTCTTAGCTGCACTGAGTCTATTTTTCCACTAGGGGGTGCAGTAGGAACAAGAATGAGGTGCTTCTGTGGCTCCATCCTGAGCAGAGATGGAGTGAGGCAGTGGTGTTTGGTTCCACTCTTCCTTTGTCTTAATTCCCAGAGACAAATCCCCAACAAGAAGGGAACATAATGCTGAGGCAGAGATTTACCTTATTTTCTTCTCCACTCAATTTAAAGTAGAACCAAAGGGCAGTAAACATACAAAAATCAATAGCATCTCATGAGCTCTGTAATGTCAGAAAGATGTAATAAGTTAAGATGTTATGTTTAATGGAGCAACAGAAACATGGTACACCTATGAATAAGCCTTAGAAAAACACATCCAGATTTTATGGAGAGAATGATAAAACTATTGAAGGAGGTAAATGAAAACTTCAAAAGAGACATATGTTATAACCATGGGTGGGAAAATGGAATCTGTCAGTTCTCTTCAAACTCATTTACTAATTCTGTGTATCCCAATTAGAATCTCAACAGGTGATTGTAGATCACAGACTAATGAGGAGAGAGGACTGGATTTTTATAACTATTTTATGTTTCAAAACAATATGTAGGTGCTGGGACTGTAGCTCAGGGGCAGAGTGCCTGCCTTGCACATGTGAGGCACTGGGTTCCATCCTCAGCACCACTTAAAAAATAAATAAATAAAGATACRGTGTCCATCCACAACTAAAAAAATATTAAAAAAAATACGTAGGCCATTTCATGTGTCTTAGATAGGTATTTTCTGGCATGGTGGGAAAGTGGAACTGTTTTCTTATGTTGCATATGTAATCTGTACACACAAAAAATAAAAGGAACATTAACATAGTCTATCTATCCCTTAGACCTGGAGAACTTTCAGTTCCTCAAATGCAGCAAACTTTGTCTTCACTGGGCCTTTGCACGTTCTGTATCCCAAACTCCCCTTGACCATTTTGATGAAGTATTAGTTGCCTAATGCTACGTAAAAAGTCTCGGTTGAGATTCCTTTCCCTCTGAGAGACCCTCCCTCACTAGGCTAGTATCCTTCTCGTCTGCCTCTGTCAGAGAACATGCCACAAACAAGACACATGCAAACACCTGATCTTRCCCTCTTTGTCTCCTGCAGGTGAGAGAGTTTAATGGTCAGCACTTTATTTTGGAAGAAGCAATTACAGGGGATTTTGCTTTGGTGAAAGCCTGGAAAGCAGATCGAGCAGGAAACGTGATTTTCAGGTATTGTGATGGTTTAAAAAAATATTAACATAATACATGTCAGCAACTCTACGTTTCCTGAAATGACTGCAAAAAAAAGGTATCACAGTGAGTTTTCCATTTAAACATTCCTTTTAAAAATGACTTATGATCATACACACCCAGGTGTACGAGTACGTGTATGTGCATGCAGGACCACTGCCATGCAGTCTTGCTGGTGCACTGAACCTGTGAGAGTCTGTTCTGATTAGCTATGTCTGTGTTGCACTGCTCATAAATTGAATATTTGGATCTATGTTCCTTTGTATGTAATCACAAGCAATTATTATTCCCTATGTATTATAGTTGTCAAGACTAGTTATTTTTGTAGAAAACATGATGAGCACACAATTTTAATTTTGATAACTGTTATTTGTGTACATTATCTTGTAATGTTAAAATTCCTTTGCTCCTCTGGAAAGATATTGCTACTAATAATTTAGGTCAGTTCTTTTCCAGCCCTATTGGTGTCTCCCAGAAAATGTTTATAATGATTTTATCTGAAAAGTTGATTATCTTTAATAATGCTGAACTTTCATTCTTAAGCCACAGGCTTACTAGATTTTAGCATCTTGATTACCCTAAGCATACTGAATTCTGAGTATTTAGTGTCTTAGATTTATAGACTGTGTAGTTGTGTTTTGACAGTTGTGCCACCTTTGACTATACATGAGTTTTTCAAAATGTGTGCTCTTGAAGACAACACCTGTTAGGTTACAGAAATAATTTTCCTATAATATTGCCGTTTGCTGCTTTTAATTGACATTTTTTTAAATACTTAGCATATACAGCTTTGTTGCTATCATAGTTAAATTCCTAGTGGTACTTTCCTGTTTTCATTTTGTTTCCCTGAAGAATATATGTGATATTAACACTCTGATTTCCTGAACTCAGTCAGTTTTTGAAAATGTGATTACTTCTGGCAATTACAAGAGACTTTTTACATGATCTCTACTTTTGACATGTTGGCGTATTGTTTGCGGAGCTTGTTGCTTTTTAAAAATGGTGAGTGAAATTATATAGTAGCAAGTAGAAATGATCTGTTTTAAATATTCCCGGGAGTCTGTGGTGTGCTCTATGGCCTGGCCCAAAAGGCTGCGCAAGGGCTATTCTAAGCACTGACTTACTCTGATGGTTATTGAACTTTGGTATAAATTGAAAGATTCCCATCACTAATGGTCAAGTAACCTAGACTCTTAAGGTACTTAGTGGGGCAACTGGTCCAGAGGCCTCCCTAAGCCGTTGCTCAAATGGAAAGTGCTGGCCCTAAAAAAGTGAGTAAGACATGGCTGTGACTGATTTTGTTCCACCATAGTGTGCCTATGGATGCATATTCCCAGAAACAAAAATATATTTTAATATTTATGGTCAGAGGAAGTGTAACAATTGAGGAATGTGGGAAGCAAAGTTGATACCTTTTTGAATTTTTTATACATCATGTGATGTGGGTATTATACTTCCAAAAATTTCATCAGAAAATAATGTTGATTCTCCATCTGGGTACAGTGGCCTATGCCTGTAATCCCAGCGACTCAGGAAGCAGGAGGATTGAAAGTTTGAGGCCAGTCTCAGCAGTTTAGCAAAGCCCCTCAGCAACTTAACAAAACTCGGCCAAAAAATAAAAAATAAAATAATAAAAAATAAAAAAAAAAAATAAGAAGGAGCTCAGAGATAGAGCAAAACAAAAACAAAACAAAACAGCAACAACAACAACAACAACAACAACAAAAACACCCCATGAACAAAAGGAAGAAAGACAAAAAGAAAAGCTTTCTCCAGAACCTTTATAGGTGACGTACAAATTCCCAGTGATTGTTTCATTTAATTTCTGTAATAGGTTTTTCTTTAATAGAGAATGTAAATACTATACCTTTTCATATGAAGTACTCACTGATTTTCCTTTCTTAATGTTCTATTTATTTGTTTTTATGTAGTGCTGAGGATCGAACCCAGTACCTTGCGTGTGCTAGGCGAGCGCTCTACCGCTGAGCCATAACCCCAACCCTTCCTTTCTTAATATTTTAATGACAGCAGATTGTTTAGTGAAATACTTAAGTATATAAGCAAAGTAGCATTCCTATTAAAAGATTAATGGATTTGTTTCAAATAGGGTAGATTAAAATCCATATTACTTTTTATATATAAGCTGTATGTTGAATGCGAAAAATAATCCCTTAAAATAAACTGTGTGTAAATTGAATGAAGTGGCCATTATATTGTTAAAATTAATAAAATTAGGGCTGGGGTTGTGGCTCAGTGGTAGAGCACTTGCCTAGCATGCGTGAGTCACTGGGTTTGATTCTCAGCACCACATATAAACAAATAAATAAATAAAGGTCCACCATAAGAAATAAAAAAAAAATTTTAAATTAATAAAATTTTATTAGTGGAACATATGATACATTCTTGAAAAAGAGTTATAAATTCTTTTTATCTACAACATTTTAAAATTGAAAGATGCTTCTTGTTTTTGGTCTTCTTTTTTCACTTTCTTATTTCTCTAATGCAGGAAAAGTGCGAGGAATTTCAACCTGCCGATGTGCAAAGCTGCAGACACCACAGTGGTGGAGGTAAGAGAAGAGGTCATCTCTGAATTCCTCATATCAGTTTTTTAACTTGATGTTTATGTGTTAGTTCAAGAAGAAGCCAACAGTCTGTCTGTTCCCTGGAGGACAAACAACGGCAGCCTTTTGGTTCTGGATATGGAGGGATTCTGTTTAAATATAGAATAGTTGGTGTTGTGGCAGATCTCTAGTCAGCTTTCTGGGCAATAGCATGCTCTCTTTTAGAATCTAACCATCGAGCAACTTATAAAAGTCCTTTGGTCCTTGAATAAAATAAGTAAACGTTTCAAGGTAAATTTTTTTGTAGTCATGCATCATTTTAAGATGGGGATACCATCTGAGAAATACGTCCATCGATTTTGTCATCAGGCAGACATCATAGGATATACTTACACAAACTAAGGTACTGTGCTATCACTAGGTCATCTATTCTTATGGGACCCTCCTATCATATATGCAGTCACTGCTGACTGAAATATTATTTGGTACATGACTGTTTATAGTATTCTAGGAAAATAGTGAATTATATCAGAAGTTTATTACCTTTCTGAAGTGAATGCTGTGAGTTCTTCTTCTCTGATTATTTTTGTGGTGCTGGGGARTCCAGGGCCTGACACATGCTAGGCAAGCACCCTGTCATTGAACGACRTCCCCATCCCTGATGCTGTGAATTCTTTAAAGGCAGGAGGGTAGTACAGATATTTGCTTTGATGGGTTTCCACTTGGAGCAGTTGAATTCAGGAGTCACTGACTGACTCCTTTGGATGCCCAGGGTTTGGGAGTGGTGTTAACAATTACAGAGCCTTCCCAGGGTTAAGGCTCTAAAATAGGTGCTTTTACCAAAACCCTATCATTTTGGTTGTACATATTTGAACTCCAGTGGAAACTTCAAAATGATTCTTCAGTTGCGTCTTTGATATTAAACTTAGAAACCAATGTTCATGGAAGTTTGAGATAGCTTTCCCTTGGAAGGACTTTACAGAAGACCACTTTGGGATCTGGGAAACGAGACGACGTGCTCCTGGTGTTCTTTTATGATGGTGGCGGTATTTGTGGCCTCTTTTGAGTTACCCATACAGTTGGTCAAGATGGTGTTTCATGGAGGCAGTTCAGTGGTATTTTTGAAACAATTAAACCTTTTAAAATCTTTTCCTCTCTTGGAAAGTAAAGTGCTTTCCTTGTAGTGCTAGGGGATGTGGTATTTTCAACCTGAGTTTGGTGGTTTCTTTTGCAATGATTTTAGTTTATTTTCTGCAATGAAATGGATAATGGGGTTTACCCTGTATGTGTAACCCGATTGTATTTATTGAATTATTGTAATAACCAGTCTGTGGCACATACCTGCAGCATTACTGAAGAAAGGTCTATTATATAGGTTCAAATAATTGATAGCTTATCACTCTATTGATTTTATGTACTTCGGTAAAACCAGAAGTGGACATTTCTTTTCTGGGTGTGAAGGGCATTATGCATTATCCTGGGTAAAGTTATATTAGAATTTTTTCCTATTATAATCTGTTTTTTTTTTTTTCAGCCATTCTTATTTCTTACAAGAGAAAAAAGAAAAAGATATTCTGGTGTCCAAGAGTCACTGAAGGTAGTAGAAAAAAGAGACTCTCTTTTGTTATAAGGGGAGAAAAAATTCTTTAACTGAGCCTGCAAATATAATAAAGGCTACTGTTTTGGTCAGCGTTTTCGCTGCTGTGACTAAAGAACCTGACCAGCACAATTATAAAAGAGGCAGAGTTTATTTGAGGGCTCACAGTTTCAGAGGTCTTAGTTCATAGAAGGCCGGCTCCAGTCCTCAGGCTTGAGGTGAGGCYGAACATCATGGCAGAGCGTGTGGCAGAGGGAAGCAGCTCATATCATGGTGATCAAGAAGCAGAGAGAGAGAAACTCCACTCTCCACATACAGATATATATCCAGAGCCACATCCCAATTCCCACTCCCTCCAACCACACTCTACCATTTCAGTTAATCACGTCACTGATTAGGCCAAGGCTATCACTTATTAGGCCAAGACTATCTCCTCTAGACTTTCTTGCATTGTCACATGTGAACTTTTGGGGGACATCTCACATCCAAATCATAACAGCTACCCTCCCCCTGTTTTCTGGAATAGAAATCTCTGATCTATCACAGCACTGTATCCTGGTGGGCCCAGACCCACATTAGGATCCTTTTTGGTACAGCTACACCCAACTGACTGTGCTGTCCAATATGGTAGCCACGAGCCACCTGTGGCTTTTAAAATTTAAATTCATCAAAATTAAATACAATACAGAGTCTGTTACTCAGCCATAAGTAGTCTCAGTTCTAGACTCACTAAGCTGGGTGTGGCTAGTGACGACTTTGTTCATCAGCATAGATCTAGAACATTATCATCACTGCAGAAAGGTACATTGGTCAGAGCTAGATTTGAAGAATCAGTGTGAAATCCATATTTCTAGTTTAGGAACTTTTAGCAAAACCATTATTTGGGCAGAGGATTATTGTAAGCCTACCTTTTCTGCATGCTCATGGTAGAGGGGGAAATGTGCACTCAAAAGTGGAAAATAATTTGGATTTGGGGATGCCCTAGATTGGGTGTTTTCTGGTGCAAAAACTCCGTTTTGACTCTGTGTCTTCTTTACTGTTTGGAGTCAAGTGAGTACCTGGGCCTCTGCTCCCTTGTCTGTGTAGTGCTGTGTGCATTCCGTTGCCTGCACTGGCCTCCAGGTGTTTATGATCCTTCTCTTGTAGGCATGTTCTGCTCTATCTTATAGTGGTGCTAGTGGGATGGATGATTATGATCTGGTTTGAAGTATAGTATTTAAAAGGAATCTTGAGAGAGCATAACCTCTGTATTCTTCTAGATGCTAAATGTTAATGATGATAGCTGCCATTAATCAAGAACTTATTGGGTTGGGGATGTGGCTCAAGTGGTAGTGCGCACGCCTAGCATGCATGAGGCACTGGGTTCGATTCTCAGCACCACATAAAAAAAAAATAAAGATATCGTGTCCACCTAAAACTGAAAAATAAATATTTTTTAAAAAAGAACTTATTGTGTATCAGTTACTACTGATTCTCTGTGTATATTATTATTTGCGTGACAGTCCTGTTTGAACCATAATTATCTTTATCTTAAACATGAGGACGTTAAAGTACAGAGAGGTTAAGTTGAATACCTGATGTCATACAGTAGGTGGAACCAGGGTAGAACTCATTTTCTATTATGTTATGAAATATTTCAAATCATTATAAATCAATAGGGTTTTCAATTTTTGAAAGATATTGAACTTCCAGGGGTGTAGTGTATTTCATTGTTAATAGAATTAAGCAGAAATTAGCAGATAGGGAGATTTTTGTTGTTGTTCAACCTACTCCTCTATCCCCAGCCTTTCTTGCCAGTTATCATGATTATAGTCTCTTCCCCACTGGTACCACCTACCTTGGAGATGGCTTAGAGGAAATCATTATCCTGTGATCATAGCCCTATGGATTCATTTAGTCTCTCTCTTGAACTCTGTTTATTCTATTGAGTGGCCTCTTGCAACTTTTCTTGTATGCCCTAAACGTGGTGGTTGAATGTCTATTCTAGTACTGTAGTATCTTAAATAGTGAAATAGCAGGAATGGTCATGGTGTCGGCTGTTCCTTTTAGACAAAACTTTTTTTTTTTTTTTTTGCATTACTGGGAATTGAACTCAGGGCCTTGTGCATGTCAGGCAAACTCTTAACCACTAGCTACATCCCCTCCACCCCCAAAACTTTTATTATTTTTAATTTTATTTTGAGACAGAGTCTCACAATCTTCCTGCCTCAGCCTCCTGAGTCGCTGGTTACTGGTGCTGTTGGCATGCACCACGACATTTGGCCAGAAGACCTTTTTTTTTTTTTTCAGAGAACACTTTGCTCCTCTCCTTTCTGTTACAGATGAGGAAATGGATATGGAGGACTTTTTATAGCTGCATCTGGTTTACAGCCTGTCTCTGGAAGCTCCATACGGCTGCATCTTTTCAGTGTTTTYCCCTGTTTACTTGAGTTCTAATTTGAGTTTTGAGGAAGATAGAACTATAAATATCTAAAATATAAATGATGACTCCCTTAAATATCTTATAGTTCTTTGGGACTTAGAAGCAGCCATGGCAAAGGAACATACAATACAACTCTTGCTTTTTAAATTTTTTTTCTCATTTATTTTCTAATTATATAGTAATTAATATCCGTGTGTTTTATGACAAGAAATAAGCCAATATGTTTATCTTGAATGAAAAAGAAAATTAAATCTGCTTTCCATAGCAATTGTTTCTAGTTTCTATAAGTGGGGGAACATTACTTCCTTTTGGAAAAGTTGTCTCTTTCTGATGTGTTCTAAGCAAACATACTTTGTATATATATAAAAAAAAAAAACCCAAGGTCATTACCGATGATGTGTGTGTTTAGCAAAATAAATGTGAATATGACACTAGTCTTTCTCCAGGCCTGCAGCAGATGACATGCTTTTTTAAAGTTGTGATGTAGTCCTCTTACGGAACTGGGTTGGTACTTGGGGAAAATAGTGGGTGCACATATTGACACTCATGCCAGAAAGAGGTTTCTCTTTTTAGCCCAGACTGTATTATTTCTGGACCTCCCTCTCTTTGAGTGGGCGAAGTCTTCCCTAATAAACTTCACGAGTTTAAGAGCAAAACCAGCCAAGAATGGCTCCTGGGTGTTGTATTACATGTGCATAATGAGAGCAGTAGTACTGCTGTGAAGGAACTCATTTGGCTCTTTCTCAGAAGGAGACTTGTTAACCTCTCAGCTCCCTGGGAGCCCCTCCTCCAGTCTCTTCTGTGTATAGCCCACCATCCCACCATCCTGGATTTCTCTGGCAAATGGCTTGTTTCTGTGTTTTTTTTTTTTTTTAATTAATTTTTTATTTTTTAGGAGATTGTAAGAGAAAACCTAGGAGGAGGGCCAGGGGTGCTTCACTCAGGAGACTGTTTGTTGATGCTTTGTCTCCTGGAAGCAGCCTGGCA